GGAATATCATATTCTTGTTTTTAACAGGTAAAGTGATTATTTCACATTAATGAACATTCTTATATAATCACCCAGGTGTGATTAAAACACAATAATTTTATACTCCCCTTTATTGAATATGAGAAATATGAGAAGTTCTTGCTTTTTAGCTTATTTCTGTAATTCCTGTTTCTTTCCCATTCTTTGCTCATTTAACTTGATTTAATTGTTGAATTTTTTTTCTTGTTTTTTTTTTTTTTTTTTTTTTTTTTGAGACAGAGTCTTACTCTGTCACCCAGGCTGGAGTGCAGTGGTGCGATCTCAGCTCACTGCAACCTCTGCATCCCGGGTTCACACCATTCTCCTGCCTCAGCCTCCCAAGTAGCTGGGACTATAGGCACCCACCACCACGCCCTGTTCATTTTTTGTATTTTTAGTAGAGATGGAGTTTCACCGTGTTAGCCAGGGTGGTCTTGATCTCCTGACCTTGTTATCTGGCCGCTTTGGCCTCCCAAAGTGCTGGGATTACAGGCATGAGCCACCACACCCGGCCTCTTGCATGATATTTTTGTTTTAAAATTAGTATAGTTATACCTCTTGGCAAAAACCGTTGTCTTCTGTTTATGCTCATCTTGATTTTGTTCTGTGCTGGACAGTTTCTTTACCTGTTTATCAAAATAGTCTCCAAGGCAACATTGCTTTAATTCAGCCCTTAGCCTTCTGGATAATTGGTTGACATATTTCTGAGGTTAATGTGAACACTTTCTTCTCTGCAAGCTTTACTTACCAATGCTAGTTTGATTCCACAGTGTAGCCATTGAGTCAAAATTTTTCCCCTTTAGGTTTTCTGGAAATTAAACTAGGTCAGTTATAAACTTTTGTGGCCCCTCTGTGATGGTTTATTTTATGGTTTATGTGTCAATTTGAATGGGCCAATGGGTATCCAGATATCTGGTTAAACATTATTTCTAGGGGTATGTGAGGGTGTTTCTGGAAGAGATCAGCATTTGAATTGGTGGACAGAGAAAAGCAAATGGCCCCCATTGACAGAGTGGCATGATCCAATCTATTGAGGGCCTGATTAGGACGAAAAGGTAGAGGAAGTTTTGATGCTTGAGCTGGAACAACCATCTTCCGCTCTCAGTGCTCCTGGTTCTTAGGCCTTAAGCTTCACATTGAAATTTCTACTATCAGACCATCAACTTTCCCGCTCTCAGTCCTTCACACTACACCATGGGCTTTCCTGGGTCTCCAGCTAGCAGAAAGCAGATTATGGGACTTAGCCTCCATAATCATGTGAGCCAATTCCTAACAACAAACCTCTTTTTACACACACACACGTGCGCACACACACTCGGAGTCATCCTTGGTATCTACGCAGGATTGGTTCCAGGATCCCCTTCTGATGACAAGATCTGTGATGCTCAAGTCCCTTATATAAAATGGTGTGACTGGGAGCGGTGGCTCACACCTATAATCCCAGCACTTTGGGAGACCAAGGTGGGTGAATCATGAGGTCAGCAGATCAAGACCATCCTGGCTAACACGGTGAAACCCCGTCTCTACGAAAAATACAAAAACTTAACTGGGCATGGTGGCACATGCCTATAGTCCCAGCTACTTGGGAGGCTGAGGCAGGAGAATCGCTTGAACCTGGGAGGCGGAGGTTGCAGTGAGCCAAGATGGGGCCACTACACTCCAGCCTGGGTGACAGAGCGAGACTCCATCTCAAAAACAAAAAAAAATGTGTAGTGTTTTCATATAACCTACACGCATCTTCCTGTATGCTTTAAATAATCTTCAATTACCTATAATACTTAATACACTGTAAATGCTATATAAATAGTTGTTATACTCCATTGTTTTCTATATGTATTATTTTATTGTTATTTTTATTGTTTTTTTTTTCTGAATATTTTTGGTTTACAGTTTGTTGAATCTTTGTGTATCTGCCGGCTTACCACATAGACATCTTATTGGTTCTGTTTCTCTAGAGAACCCTGACTAATACACGTCCACCTTTGTCGATTAAAAAAACAAGGTGTATTCTTATTACTGGAAACCTATCAGGAAAATGTATTTATGCAGCCTGAGACCCATGGCACCAGCAGGTAGGAGTGTTACTTTTTCATAGGAATGGCTAGGATGAGTGGGCTGTTGCCCACATTCTAGTTCTTTGAAGTTGTTGTAATTGTAGGATGTGAGGAAATCTTGTATAATCCGCTGCAAGCCTGTCTGCTTAGGAATCATGATTGCTTGAGTTTTACTTTTCTATCAAAGAATAAGGAGAAATTTTCACTTCATGCCCTCAAAATAGTTTTATGATTGGAGGGCATATGTGGTCCATCTAATTTCATTTCATTTCATTTCATTTAACTTTTTGCCCCAAGAAATTGTTTAAAAACTTTGGAACATATGCTTTCCCATCCCTTCCCTGAGTGTAATCCCTGGGTCCCTGGGTTATGTCAACAGAGACTCTGCTGCCAAGTCTTGGCAACTCACTTCTCATCTGCTCCTTTCACCAAGGGGATCACCAGTTTGGCTCTGGATCTTGTAAATAATTAATGATCCACCTTCAGGTAGAGGGCAGAAATGCTGCATGTAATATCTGGGCATTAATGCACACCAATTTTGAATGGGAGCAAAAGGAGAATGGCACGCTTGGATTGGTCTTTCCCAGATAGGGGAGTCTGTTGGGTCCTGATGCACTTTGCGGCACTCTCAGAGTCAGCCATTCTCTAACTCTGGCTGGTGTCAGCATCACCAGGAAAACTCAGTAAATATACAAAGCCCAGGACCTATTCTATGTTAATGCACCTGGGCCTCTCTGTTTTGTATTAAGTTCCTCAGGTAGTTGTGACATCAGACATCCCAAGTCTGAGAACCACTGCTAAATCATAAGGATGTTCCATTCTCTCTTATCAGCTCTCTGATAAATTTCACCTTTCTTAAACACCACCATGATCTGCCTTGTAAGCTCTTGCGAGAACTCTCAAACACTCGAATCCTTTTGATTTTTCTTGCCCCAAACATCCTAAGAAGTTTGTTTGAAACTCTGATTCATCAGCATCAAAGAATCTTCTTCTTCTTCTTTTTTTTTTTTTTTGTGTTTCCAGATGAGAATGGCTGAGTCTTGTGCTTGTGTCTTCTCTGTCTATGTCTGCTGTCAGCGTTCTCTTTCCATATTTGTGTGCCACTGGCAGGGGCTCCCCAGTGACACCTGGCATACTGTGGCAACTTTGCTGCCCTTATTGAAAATTTATTCTCTTTTTGCAATTTTTATTTCCTTTAAGCTCTGTGGCAATGATGTCATTATTCTTAACCTTCCACCCCTACTTTCCATCCATGCAGTCTAGTCTCAAACCAACAGCTAGAACAATCCTTTGAAAATATGTCTCCTCAAACTCTCCAATGACTACACATGATATGCCTAGCTCTGTCCCGGGTTTTGAAATAATCTGGTACCCGATGTATTTCTTTCTTTCCCTGTCAACATGTCCCCCCTTGGTATAGTGGATGCTGTGATGTGTGGCCCAAATCCCACTTCAGGGCTGAAATTATTACTTCCTGTGGCTGTCAGGCCCCTGTGGAAATTGCCTACAGATAGAGAAAGCTGCTTCTTCCAAGGCTGTGCCCATTTCCAGGGGCAGATATATCCCACAACCGGTGGATGAATGGGCATGGAGCCCAGCCTCCTTGCCGAAAATCAGGACAACTCTGAAGAACCATCCTAATTTGAGAGCTCCTTGAGGAGCTGAGTCCTCTGTTAAAATTATATCATGGACCAACTTCTTTTGTTCAGTCCTGTTTCTTCCCCTTTCTCTTTATATGTATTGGCCTGAGAATACTCTCTAAATAAATTGCTGGCGCCATAATCTAATTCTCAATGTCTGCCTCGTAGGGATCCCAGTCAACATAGTAGATCACTCCTCTCAGACCTTGGCCCCCTTGCTTGACTCAAATGATGCCAGGCATGAGAGCACCTCAGGGCCTTTGCATGAGCTCTGTCTTCTGCAGTTTCACTCTCCCTTGCATAGTGTGACGGCCAGCTTCCTCACTTCAAGCCTCTGGTCAAATACCACCTCATCAAGCAGGACTTTGAGGCCTCCCTATGTAACAGGAAAACCCTTTGCTCATTACATTGTTTTATTTCCCATGAACCCATATGAGCATCTGACACAAAGATTTTCTGCTTTACTATGTCTTTCCCTGCCAGTATGTATGTCCCATGGAAATATTTAGTTTATTACTCTTTTGCCAGTGTCTGGCACAGAGTAAAAACCAAATAAATATTTGTTGAAAGAATGAATAATGAGAGAATTCTATTTGCTTTCCTGCTTTAAGTCTGCAAGTACTTTCTCGTTCCATACTTTCCCCTCTTTGGCTGTAGTTTGATGTCTGGGATTTCCAACTGGAGACAGCATACCTTGTAGTATGTTCTTGACTAGCTTATTTAGTTGCCTGGGAGAAGTGGGGGAGATAGAATTTTTGGAAGAATGTCTGGACAAAGCCCATGTTCCCAGGAGAGAGGGGGAAATAATCTTCTGGCTTGTTCATTTTTAAAAATTTTTTAGGAAAAATTTTCCTCTGCTATATTTGAGCTGTCATATCAAAGCACTCAATACTGACCTCTGTATCTACAGCCGTTTTGTCTTTAACCTTATCACTGTCTGTTATGTGTGAATTACAAGAAGAGGGGCTGAACTGTCACTCACAGTGATTAGCAGCCTTTTGGCCATAGGATTACACATCCTCATTTTGGAGGACCACTTACTTACTGGTGAATGTCCCCAATTCACTGAGTCACTGAATTCACACTTACATAGTTCTCTAATGTTTAAAAATCCTCCTTCACTAAAATAATGAATACAAAGCCCTTGTGAGAAAAATTTTCAATTAACAGAATGAAACTGAGCAAATCCTAAACTTGCACTTGCCCTATGCTTGACAAATATTTGTTTATTTGTTTGTTTTCCCACATAGGAATATGAGACCTGAACTTTCTGTTCCCACTGTGGTTGGGCAAGTGAGAGGTAAGCCTTCCAGTACTCCCTGTGATTTCGGGAAGATCTTGATTGTGAAGGGCTGTTTGTAGATCCCATCAGAGGTGCCCAGGTGAATGAGCAGTGGCCGATTCAATTAACTGATAAGAATCTATTAGCATTTCCAAGTCATTTCGTTTGAACACAGAGCATTGTGTACAAATAACCACCAGGGTGACTGTCACTTCTTACTGGAGAAATCTGAAGCTCCTGTGTGTGCCACAGCCCAGAAGGTGGCACCATACACATATAAGGGATAATTGACTTTTAAATGCCAATGAGCCCTATGCAGGTAGCAATCTGTGAGAAAAAAATCTTCTAATTGGATGGCTTTAAGAGCAGAGCCCACTTTTTCTGTGTCCGGCAGGCCTTCCGCTTTGAGAAGGTCAGGGCATTCACAGTCTGCATATTTTTCTCTATTGCCCAGTGCAGTGGGGAGAACTCAGAGTATGGGAGTCTGCCTGCTTCATTTGAAATCCTGACTTTGCCATTTACAAGTTGTGTGGCCCTGAGTGTAGTACTTAACCTTGGTTTTGCTCAATATAATTTAGGATTAATAAGAACTCTGTCATCAGGCTCTGAGGACTAAATGAAATAAAGTTCGCTGAGTGTGTTACATACTGTCAGGTCTGCACACCTCCCCTCTGCATTAGAAAAGGGCACTGTTCTTGGCTGACACAGCCCCTCAGACTGGCATGTGAATGGAGAGTGGGCTGGAATGCCAATCCTATCAGCCCAGGGACCAGGCACTCAGGTGGAAGTCCTGCCTCTAGCCTCTCCCTACCTTACCTGGGGACTGGTGAGCCTGGAGTTTGTTGTGACTGAGATTACCAGGCATGGCAAGCATTACTTCCCAGGGGGACAGATTCTGGTGCAATATTATTCCTTCGGAAGAATATGAAAGATAACAATGAAGTTTAAGACCTACAGCCTTAAAGTGTACGATAAGTATGCTACAGAGCCAGACTGACAGAAAGAAATGCATAAATCAATATATCAAATTGATCTTTGTTCAATCATAAATTGAATAAAGATTTCTTAGAAATTCGAAGTGGAAGCTTAGCCCCCAAAATGGGAAATTTTACCTGCTTGGAAAATTGAATTTGTTATGACCCTTTGGGATAGTGAAATTCCTGGATAACTTAAAGAAGTGTCTAAAATGTGGGTCCCTGTAAATGATGACTGTGAGCAGTAGAGCTCTAGCAGTGGGGACATGTTGCCATGGAAACCTCGAAGCTGGAAGCTCCTCAGGGCCTCAGAAATGCTGTCAATTAGATCCATACTCTTGGGGAGTTTAATGAAAACAGACACTTGTCATTTTTTTAGCTGCCATCTAACATTATATACATTTAAAATATTTCCATGGAAAGAAAAGCCTGCGGTTAAGTTTAGCTGTTTATTTTAAGAGAATTCCCTTGTGTGGCTTTGACAGGGCAGATTTTTCCCCCCTCTTTCTCCACATTAAAGGAGAAAACTGAGGCCCTCCAGTGGTTAGCAGAAACACAATTAGGAGAGTCACTGATGGTGGTTCATTCAGGCAGTTCAAGAGGCGCTTCAGTCTTCCGGCCCTTATTTACATCACAGTGGGGGTGGGTGGTCCTACTGGCCCCTTCATGTTGTTGCCTCTCAAACTAGATCCCAGAGAGTTCTTTGGAATTGTGCAGCTACACTGACTGGCTGTTAGGCACTTTTCTTTTATTGGGGCAGCTTAGGAAAGAAACCTTCATTAGATATCACTCTCTTCAAATGTCACATGCTGAAGAGTAAGGAATCATGATTTTTTTTTCCTTAGACTGACTTGCCATCTGAGGCCAGCTGCTGGGATCTGACTCTTCCCAAGAACACAAATCAATAGTCAACGCAGAAACCACACTCCAAAGAGAAACTGGTTCCAAGAGTGGCTATTACTATTTGCTTTCAATTGAATATATGTATGTAGATAGGTATGCATTTATGTATTTGTTTATTTTTACCTAAATATGCCCTTTTTGAGTTGTATTTTGCAGAAGAGACATATATATCTTGTATCATGGATATGACTGACCATGAGATGGGAACACTTTTTCAAACTAGACTGGGAACAGAGGCCCTGGTGGTCATGAACAATGTCAGGCACATACAAAGAGCCGAAAACCCATTCCAATCAAGTCTGTCTTTGCCCAACCCATTAGGCAGTCAAATGACAACTGAAAATCCAGTTCCCCACATTGAGAATCAAAGACTGGTGTCTCCTTGACTTCTGAGCTCAGGGCATCCTACTCTTTTTACTTTCCTTTTAAATGTCAAATCATAAGTAGGTCAGCAGAAACCAGGGTGTTGTTACTTCTCCAGTTAAGTTTGGCTCATAAGAATGTAGCAAACTTTACTACATTTGGTTTTCAGCAATATTTGAAAATTGCATTTTATGGTTTGAATCTGATTGCATCTGCTAATTATCACATCTCTACTTGTGGCAAAGAAACTAACAATATTAATATGGAAAGACACAGACATTGCTCGGCCTCACTGATTGAATTGGGGGGGCAGTAATTGTAGATTCCCAAAGTATGTATATTTTGTGGCCCTGGATAAAGATTATTCTAAGAAACCCCTTCTGGGTACAGTTACAGTAATTGTGGTAATTAGCACAGTAAAAACAAGAAACATCAAGTCCTAGTCAGATATCTGTCCCCACACAGCTCTTTCCTCTGTTATCACACACTGCAAATGGTGGTTGGCAGAATGATTATACACATCATATGTATTAAAGTGGGAAGTTTTGAACAATGGTCAGAATGTAAGACTTAACATGGGGCCGAGCCACTAATTAACTGTCTGATCTTGGGAAAGTCATTTGTACTGCCTGGCTTTCAGTTTTACCACCTATAATATAAGACAGCTGAACTAATTGATCACATGTCTTCTTTTTGATTTTCCAGGTGCAAAGCCTCCCATTTTGCCTTCAGGACCATAGCAAATACCTGCTTTCTGGATGGACAAGGGAGACCCTTGTTAGCAAGAATTGTGCTACAGTCTCCCAGCCTAACCACAAGGACACACGAGGACTAGAACATTTGCTCTGCTTCTACTCATCATTGGCAAGAGTTTGAACACCTCTTTCTCAAACCAGCAGCAAGAGTTGCCCAGGCAGTGCACTCACTAACATGCTCCCCTAAATATTCTTGAGTGAAAAGAAGAGATATGTTGCCATGAATGGGTCTTTCAGTTGGTATTTGTAGGACTGCAAAGTTGCAAAGCTGGCAACATGGTTATAGCTTACACTGTTAAATTTTGTGATTTACTACTTGATATGGTAGCACAAAATTAGAACTACAAAAAGAATAAGGCTTGGTCACCTTACCTATAAGATCTATTCATGACAATAATTTTATAGAGAAAATTGCTCCTCTTTAGGCAATGCCTCATCTGACTTGATGCTCTCTGCTGCAGAAGGTGAAATTACAATAATTACAAACTTTATCTTGGCTGTGACCTCTGAATTGACCCTTTGAAGGAACCTGGATTATGTCTCAATCTGTTATCTCTGCAAGGAGACCAGCTGTCTTCAGAATTGCTTTTGGGACCCCATCATGTCATCGTGAAATTGCAGTTAGTAATCTTGCCAACAATTTCCAGATTTGGTGCAGATAAGCTTAAACACATTTGACTCCTTGGTTTCCAATGTTATTTAGAGAATTGGATGACTTAAAGCATTTATTTTTTTCAACTCAATTCTTATCATAATCCATCAACATCACAGTGTTTTTATTCTCTATTTCATTTTTATATGATCCTATTAGTGGAGAGAAACACAAGTGACATTTTTCTTTACTATGGCCTTGTCTTCCTTTTTGCCTTTGCTAGAACTCAGGGATCATACACATTTTACTAAATTAGAATTCAACCATATCCTCTGACCAACAATTTTCCTAACACTGATCTTCTTCATTGAGTTTTGTTAGGGATGAAACGAAGGGAATTCTTTCTGTTGCATGCAAATGATATTTACAAACTGTCCCTAAATCACAGACCAGAAATGCTTCTCTTAGATGACTGAGGCTGATATTTTTGAAATGTGCTGCACTCCAGGTACCTTTGTGCTGTCTCCAGAAAAATGAAAGTAAGTTTTTGGATTGAGAGTGAGTCAACCTTCCAAGCTGTTAAGGAGCATGGCTTTGATGTGGCTCCATCATGGCTATGTGGTGACTCAGCAGAAGTGTCATTCAGGATGTGTGAAGGACATCAATCTCAGAGACATGGCTGCCTCCCTTTAGGTTTCCAGATGAAACTGATACTCTTTGTTGTCAAGGAGCCAGTGGTGCTGAATGACCTTACGCCAAAGTGGGATGCTGGCCTGCTTTGGGGGCATTTCTGCTTCTCCTCAATTGCTTGCCTCTATATAAGAAAGTTCACTGAGCACGGGCCAGTATAGAAGTGCAGAATTTACTTTATCCATGCGGGATCATATATAAATTCCGGATTCCTCCTGTACAATTTATTTTTCCATTTGTTATAGTGGTAGAGAGAAAAATGATAATCGAAGTACCAGTCATTCATTCCAATTTGACGAACCACTCATTAAGACTCTGGGATTGGTGAAAGGATTAAGAGATAAGACAACCCCTATGCATTTGGTACCATAACTTGAGGGAATTTGATATGAGACATGTCGGGACTTAGTGGCATGTGGGGAAAGGAAGGGAGTCACAGTGGGGAAAGGGAGAGAGTCAAGGCTGAAATTACAGACGTGAACTTTTTGTGGGATATCTCTGTCTAAACAGGTGCCCAGCATTGGATTCTATTGTATGGAAGGTGTTCCAATACCTTGTACTTAGTATTCAAACGAATGTAACTCTAGGCCAGGCTGATATTTGATGTTCTACAAATGGGAATATCTTGAACTACATGATTTGTTCTTGCAGACATGGCCCCTGCTACTGATTAGGTCTAGTGAGTCAGGGCTCTGTTTCCTGAAACAAGGACCGATATGGGTTATATATACTGTTAGTATCCTGTTCAAAGAAGTAGGGGTTGGGGCATGGTTTCATTGCAGTGATCACTCTATCCTCTTTCATATATTTACTTCACTTGGTTTCTGGGACACCAAATACCTTGAGGTTTTTTTTTTTTCTTACCTCAATAGTTACTCTCCCCATTCTCCCTTACTGGTTCCTTATTCTCTCCTGACCTTTTAATGCTGGAATGCCCCTGAGCTCAGTACTTGATTCTGTCCTCCCTGTTGACACTCACCCCTTTATTCAGTCTCTTGGCATTAAAGGGCATCTATATCCTTACAACACTCAAATGTCCATTTCTAGCTGAGGCCTCTGTCCCGAACTGCAGACTCACTGAGCCTGCAGCCTACTCAGCATCCCGCAGTGGCATCTCAAACTCAACAGGCTCACATGGAACTCCTTTTCACCTGCTCCTTCTGCAATCTTTCACGTCACAGTTGATGGCAAATCTGATCTTCCAGTTGCTCAGGGAAAGAAGCCATGAAGCCGTGTTGATTCCTCTTTTTCTCTCACACAGCACATCCAGTCTGTCGGGAAATGCTGTTGGCTCTACATTTGGAATATATTCAAAGATGGACACTTTTCACCACCTCTTCTGATATCACCCTTGGTGAGTTATCAACATCTCTGGCATGGATTATGCCAATAACTTCCTAATTGCCTCTTGCTCTGTCCCTCCTACAGAATTTCAATCCTACAGCCAAAATTATTCATATAATACTGAAACTGTCCCTATAAACTTTATAAAATTAGTCAGGGAAGAAGAGAGTGGGAGAGATGAAACTAAACTCAACTTGCAGCACACTCAGCATTAATCACTAGGTCAACCTGTGCCCTGACCTGCTTCCTCATTGTTGCTTGGTGCCTCCTGTCCTGGAATCACATAGATCCTAGATTATAGTTCCTTCTTAACTGTTCTATGGGTAACAATTTGAATGTTATAAAACATTATCTTTGAGCTATTCCTTCAGGTCCTGCATACTGATGAAACTACTGACTCAGCTGGTCTCCAGGACCTCACGAGGAGCTGACTCACCTAAGAATGCAGTTTCCATGTCCGGATAATTTCAACCCCCTTGCTGTGACGAATTAATAACCCCAATTTCCCAGCCTGTCACCTTCCACGATCCCCTTAAAACCCAGCCCAGAACTTCTTGGGGAGATGGATTTGAGGGTCTTCTCCCGTCTCCTTGCTCAGTACCCTGCAATCATTAAACCCTCTCTCTCCTGTAAATCCTGCTGTCTCAGTGTAATTGATCTGTTACTGCATAGCAGGCATACAAACCTGTTGGTCCTATAATAATACCTAAACCAGTCATGCCACCCTTTAAAAACCTTGCAATGACACTATTTCATTCTCATTTAAAACCAGTGTCCTTATGAGGGACTAGATGATCCAGTCTTAGTGACCTCTCAGACCTGAAGCCTTCAGGCTCAGTGGTTCCACTCCATGTCCCTGGCCCCTGAAGCCCTCAGACAGGCTCCTACTTGTCTTTGCATTGGTCGTATCGTCTGCTTTCCTTCTGTTATGTGCATATTTACCTCCCTTACCTCCTTCTTGTCTTTACTCAGAGGTCACCTTCTTAATGTGCCCTGCTCAGATCACCCTATTTTAAATTGCAACCTGCATCCACCCTCCCCACCACCCTTCTTTGGCAGACATCCTTGATTGCTGGTACCTTGTTTGATTTTTATTGTTTTTTTTTTTTAAACCATAGAAATTGTCACTTTCTAACTTACTATTTCTTCGCTTATTTACCGTGCTTATTGTTTGTCTCCTTTCGATCCCCCTCTCCCCTTCTCACAGTAGAATGCAAAGTCCACGTGGGTAGGGATTTTTATTAGTTTCATTCACTGTTGTGTCATAAGTGCATTGAGAAGGATTTAGAAAATGGTGGGCCCTCAGCACATTTGTTGAATCCAGAACGTCTGTGCCTTCATAATAAGTGCATTCATAATATGTGCCTTCATGAAAAGTGTATTGTTTTCAAATACTGGAAAATTCAGAGTTCCAGTTTAGAAGGAATTGGTCAATGGATTCCTAACCCACTTGTTTTTGCTCAGCCCTGGAATATATTCTGTCATATTCTACTGCAGAAAATTTCCATGTAATTTACAAAAATGACATCGCTCATTCTCTTCCCCTACCTTAGGAAAAAAGGCATTCAAATATTTGAGGGATAATCAGACCCTTAGTGAATGACTTATACCACATTTTGGTTATCTTAGGAATTCCTGGAAATTTCATTCTCCACATTTAATTAACATAAGCTATTTCAGCTGTGACATGCTAGGTTCAGACAATTTGAGATAACTGACTATCACTGAGATGTGCCAGTTGAGTGAGCCACCTGAAGTCCTAGCACTCCTCTTCTCTGGCATTATCAGGGCCATGAAAAAGCCACTTTGTCATATCCTTCATTTCAAAGACTTGTGTGAGCATCTTTCGCCCTGGAAAAGAGAATCTTGTATCTGCCCATTCCTTCATGTGGAACACCAACAGGGCATGCACCCCAGTGCTTGGAAGCATCAGATTCATAATTTCTTTAAAATGAATCAAGATCAGGAAACAACATCAACTCCAACTCTTCTCTTCTCAAGAATAAAACAAAGTGAGACTGTACTGGTATGTAATAGCAAATTCTCACATGACTTTGCACACTTCGGGGGTGCTCCATTGGGAATTTCAAACACTAAGCAATATTTTTGTAATATACTTAGGTTTTAATGCTGTCAGGAATGCCCTTAGTTGTTTTTGAGTTTCTGGCAACAGGAAGATTATTGATTCTGATGGCCATTCTCTAAACTAGAATCTGCTCTAGCTCTTTGTATCTTTTTGGAGTAAAGGAAGACAGAAAAATACTTGGCGATGGTTTTGCAATACAAATGAAAGGAGAGATAAATAGAACAGGCCCTTCCTGAACTCACGCTCTGCTTTTCCTCTGAAGACGTTTTTTTGATTCCTAACAATTCTCTCAAGACTGAAAGATAAAGATTGCATTGTAGATGTAACTGTATTAATTAGTAAAATTGACAAGAAAATACTTATCGCTTTATATTGAATGACAGGAAAACACAACTTAGGGAATTTGTCACTTATGATTGAACAGAATCACATTTTAGTTTTACATA